GATAGACACATACTTAGGTGGGTGCAGGAACAATTAACATGACTATGAAGGAATTTGTGGTGTCTGCCCTGGCACATTAGGTTGTGCCCCAAGGGGTCCAGAAAAAGGGAAGTTACAAGTGACCCAGACATTTCAAGGGTATGTTATTATAGATGAAAAGAGACAGATAGGCTCAGTTAAGGTAAAGGTTGACCTTGTCAGTGAAGATACTGGCCTAGGATGTAACTACCCACCATAACTGCTTTTAGTTAAAGTTTTATTTCAGACCATCCTTTGTGGTTACTTTAGGTCTGAGTCTAGCAGGCCTTCCCTGAGCTTGTCAGGTTCACATGTGGCCCCTTTTGTCCACAACAGGATCGCCTCCAGAAGCCCCCCTGGGATTTGGGCGTGGAGAGAACAGAGCAGGAAGCCAAGGACTGCTCCCTGTGGCCCAGAGACAGCCTCTGGGGCCAATTCTTCCTCCGAGGCCAGACCAAGGACTGCTCCCTGTGGCCCAGAGACAGCCTCTGGGGCCAATTCTTCCTCCGAGGCCAGACCTCCGGGGCCTCTGTGGAGGGGTCTCAGGGCACTGGTGTGGGAGATTGGGCAGGGCCTGGAAGGAGCTGGAAAGAGCCGGAAGGAAAGGTGCTGGGTGGCCCTCAGGGATGGCAGAGGCAGTTCTCCCAGCCCCTTCCCCTCCCCTCCCTTCAGTTCCTCCTCACACACAAGGCATTTCTGAGGAATGGGGATCCCCAGAAGGCACAATTTGAAACCTCTGACTTAAGAGTTTTCTGGAGCCCAGATTTTTCTGAGACAGACCCCTTTGAGAATCTGTTCAAAGCTGTGGCATTGCACTTGAATTCTGTTTCCATTGCCCACCCTTTGGTTCTGGAATTGAAACTGTTTTCTGGAGTCTTTCCTGATGCTGGAGTTTTATAAAGAGAATCCCAACAGCTGAGCTATGTGCCACCTTGGTAACTAACTGCCCAGCACAGGACTCCCAGCGTTCCAAGTTGGACCACCACCACCATGAGGTGGGGAGGAGCCTTGCACTGCCCTAACTAGACCATGTTAATCCCCAGCTCACAATCCTGGAGCTTCATGACTTCAGCTCTTTGTATGTTTATGTCACACATGTCCCTGCACCACCAAAGGTAGGTATTGGAATCTCAGACACTTTTCTGCCTCTTGCTCCATGTCATATGTTAGCTCTACAAATGCCCCAGCCAAAACGTGCCTCTCCTGGAATGGCACATTATGACTGTCAGACTCTGGGTTGCCAGAGACACCAAAATCTAACACAATCTGCTTCAGGCAAAAATGGGGATTTATTGGTCCAGATAATCGGGAACTCCAAGAATGACACTGGCTTCAGGTATAGCTGGATCTAGGGGCTCAAATATCCCCCTTCTCTCTTGGTTCGATTCTCCATGTTGGCTTCACTCTCCTCCTCCATGTGGCCCATACCCTGGAAGCTGGATAATCCCAATGGAGATTTTTCCCCCCAGGTCCCTGCAGAAGTTCCAGGGTGAGCTCTGAGCTCTGGTCAACTGGGACATAGGCCTGTCTCTGAACCATTCGCTGATGCCACCTGGACTTGGTGGTGGTGGTGGTGGGGGGATGCCAGCCAAGCCACAAGGATGGAAAATGGGGAAGAGGTAGTGCCCCAAAGCAACTTGATGGAGGCTTGTGGCCCTCGTAGAGCAGGAAGGAAATGCCAGTTAACCCCCAGGAGCAGCCTTCAACCCATGATAAATTAGTACTGGCTCGTAAACACACCAGCTTCCCCTTTCCTAGAGGCCCCAGCCGTGAGCCTGGCTGTCCAAGGTAGGGAACTGCTCACTAACGTACCACGTACAGGCTGCCTTCCCTTCTCCCCTCATCCAGGGGTTCCTGGGGTCACCTCCCAAATACTCTACTAGCCCACACATCCTTGTCTCAGGTTCTGCTGCTGGGAGGACCCAGCCTCAGATGGGGCAGATATTAAAAGAGGGGCTGGATGTCGGGCAAAGGTAACAAATACCCCCATGACACACTAAAAAAAAAATCCTTGGGGCCAGGTACTGAACGAGGGACCCTTCTGGCATGCCACAAGCCCTCTTCAGGTTCTGCCTCGAGCCCAAAGCCCAGCAAGCCCATGCACAGAACTGGCATTGCCAACTCAGCCAAGGACAGGCAGAGAAGCCCCTGCAGAGGCTGGCGCTTGGAGGACAAGGCCTTGCACAGCCCGTTGCCTCAGAGCCTTGGGGGTGCTCCCTGTAGATTCCCGGAGCCCTCTGCTCCTGACTCAGGGGTCTGGGGTGGGGCCCAGAAGTCTGCAATCCTAGAACATTCCTGGGGATACATTCTGACTGCAGCCAGGCTTGGGAACTGGCCTGAGGAATATGCCGAAATGATCCTAAGGTGCCCGGAAACTGGCTTGAGGTCGTGCCACTGTGTCCTACTCTTGATCATCAAAGCAGCGCAGGGCTGCTTCGTCCATAAAGAAAGCAAAATACAAAATGAACCTTCCAGGTGTTGGAACACAAGCTCCCTGGAGGAATGCAGCTTTGCTTACATTCCCAGGAGGAATGAAAACCAGCATCGCCTGGTTCCTCGAACAAGTGGCTGTCCCTAAGTTCCCGGACATGCTGAGAATGCCCTGCCGCCTTCCCTTTCTTCACTCCAACCTGGGGCACAGACTGGGCGAGGGGCCGTGAGGAGGTGGCACCTCCAGTGGCTTGGAGAACTGTGGGCTGCAGGTTCACTGGGTGCCTGATTGACATGCCGAAGGTCAATGGTTCTGTGGCTCTGGCCAGAGGACCGAACGCAGCAGCACCGAGGGGAACGTCCCAGGCTGGCACAGTGGCTCCCACTCATCTAGCCCCATCTTTAGGGGCCAGACAGACCCAGTGACCCACAGACATCCTTCCAGGGACTCGGAGGCTGAGAACTGGCCTATGACAGTTCTCTCTCTCTCTCTCTCTCTCTCTCTCTCTCTCTCTCTCTTTAAATGTTTTTATTGATTTCAGAGAGAGGAAAGGAGAGGGAGAGGGAGAGAGAAACATCAATGATGAGAGATAATCATTGATAGGCTGCACTCCCCCTACTGGGGATTGAGCCCACAGCCCGGGCATGCGCCCTGACTAGGAATCAACTGTGATCTCCTGGGTTCATGGTGGTAGCTCAACCACTGAGCCACACCAGCCATTCTGAATTCCTCTTTTTGAAAGTGAAACAGACCCGCTTTATAGTAACTCGATCACAGTAATGGGCTCCTTTCCCATCTCTTAGCAGCTCCTCTCATTAAGGGGTGGAGTCCGTCTTCTTTCCCCTGAAATCCAGGCCTGGGGACTTTAGAATTTATCTGATAGAATTTGGTGGAAACGAGGCCACACCACTTCTGAGCCGAGGTTTCAAAAGGCCTCCCATGCTTCTCTTCTGCAATCCCTGTCACCCTCCACATTCCCCAGCCGAGGCCAGCCTCCTGGAGGGCGAGACACCACCTGGAACGTGACTCCCTCAGCTCCGGCCTCCCAGCCCAGCCCCCGCTCTCACAGGTGAGCCCTGGGTAAGTCACTGCCCCTGGCCCAGATCAACAGAAGCACCCAGGTGACCCAGGATCATGAGAGATGATTATTTTTCACAATAAGCAGTAACTGGTTGTTGAACTGGTTAGGCTGCACTAGAGAACTACTAGTTACACCATGTCTCAGGCTGCTAGGATAAGTACCACAGACTGGGTGGCTTACAAAGCACAGACACTTATTTCTCACAGATCTGAGGCTGGCAGTCCAGGATCAAGGTGCTGGCACATTTGGTTCCTGGCAGGCTGGCTTTAGACGCTGCCATCTCACTTGTGTGAGCAGGTGGGGAGGGTGCTCTCTGGTCTCTTCCTTTTGTCATGGGTGCCACTCCCATTGAAAAGAGGTTTTAGGGGTGAAATAGGCAGGTTTAGAAAATTCTAGGAATTAAGGGTCCATGAAAAAAGCACAGGGCTACAGAGCTGCAAAGGGTACATTTCCATAGAATAAGGGAGTTGGGAGCTGCAGAAGGTACATTTCCATAGAATAAGGGAGCTGGGAGCTGCAGAAAGTGTACATTTCCATAGAATAAGGGAGCTGGGAGCTGCAGAAAGTGTACATTTACAGAATAAAGGGAAGGAAGCCCCTCATTCAGAGAGGGAAGAGGAAAGCCCAAAGGGAACAGGAAAACAATAGAGGAGGAGGAGGGAACCTCGGGTACCTCACATGAGGTTTGAGCTCTGAAGTTGCTATAGTGACCTAATCAGAAGGGATATCAAGGCACAAAAAAACTGCAGCCTTTATAAAACGTTGGAAAGAAAGGGAATTAGTTGTACTCTTTCCCTCTCTCCACGTGGGAGTCTGTGCTTGTTTCTCAATAAATTTCCACCTGTTACTATACCACCTTTCGTCCATGGACCGGACAAGAATCCAGGAACCATCTTGCCCAGAGGAACACCATGAGTTCCAGTTCAATTTTCCCATTTCACCAGCAGGAGGGCACCACCCTCACCAGCCCACCTAAACCAAAGGCCCCACCTCCTAATGCCACCACACTGGGGTTAGGCCTTCAACGTAGAAATTGGGGGATGATGACACAAACACGCAGTCCATCACGTGCATGGGTTTACCTGAAGACTTCCTGAAAGCTGTCTCCATCTCCCCTCCCAGAACAACTGCTAAGCACATATTCATGGGACGGGGTAGGGGGTAACCTGCCAGGTACTGAAGACCCTTACAAACTCTTGACACTCACAAGGCTGGGGGTCACAGGTGAGGGGAGCTGGCTGCTGGGGCTGCGATGAGTGGAGGGCCAGATGGGGCTGTACAGTCTCAGCTCTGGCCAGCTGTTGCCTCATGAGGGCATCAGCCTGGCTACTACCTCTCTGACTTTTAAACACTGGTAATTAATTTAAATTCTATTAAAATACAATGTGCACTAAACCTTTTCCGTTTGAAGTGTGGTCAGGGGCAGCCTCAGCACCACCCGGGAGCTTGTTAGACATAGACACTCAGCCCTGGGCCAGAATCTGCATTTTAATAAGGTCTCCAGGTGACTCAGGTGCACATGAAATAAACAGATACCTCAGGGAGCCAGAGGTGCTGGGGGCTGCCTGCTCAGGGCTCCGGTAAAGGAGCCCTGTCTATTAAGACCCAGGAGCACTCTCAAGTCCATGATTCAGAATTCAGCCACTGCCTTAGGGCTCCTTTAATTATGTAAATTTACTCAAGAGGTATAAAAACCCTCTGGATGGTAGGATGACAAAATAGAAAGCCTGTAAACATGATTTCATCCCCCGTCCATTCTAAGGAGTTTCCTGTGATAGGAAACTGAATTCTAGTTGGCAAATGCCGTGATGAGGTCTATAAAAAAGGTCCCGTGACATGGCCGTTGTCTCTTTAATCCACCCCAGTGCAAGGGGGCCGGCCGGCACCCCCCACTAGGTCACGGAGAGTTCCATTCGCTGGTGGCCGGCCCCAGGAGGCTGGAGGCTCTTTGGCGGAGGCCCTGGGGGACGGGCCTCATGGCAGCAGACACAGGCAGGCGGGGAAGGAGCAGTGTCTCGGGAACACTGTGTTGCTCAGGTTGCTCCTGCCATGGCAGACATCCAGGCAAGATGGCCGAGGGCCAGGTGAGGGGCTGAGGCATACCTGCTATCAGAAGCTTGGCTTGGCCCTGGGGCTGAGGCCACCCAGAGTCAGTGGCCTTGGACTATCCCTTGCAGAAGCCAGACAGCGTCAAAATGAGCCTCCAAACAGGCCATGGTGGGCAGCTGGGTCGTTCAGTCCTTGAAGGGGTTGCAGGTCTCACCCGGCTGCTCCTTCTCGGCAGCCGAGAGCTCCCCGTTCATCTCTTGCAGCGGGTGGTAGACATAGGACCCATCCAGGTGCCGGCTCCGCTCTGCCCTCGAACCGAGGAGCAAGGACACATTCGCCACTATGCTGATCAGCAGAAGGAAAACCAGGGCCAGGGTGAGGGCCAGACAGGTGGTCCTGAGGACAGGAGAGAAATCCTGAGTGGGGCCTGTGGGGCCGACTCAGGGCTGTGGGAGTGTTGGAGGGATGTTCCTCCCTCCTACTTCGCTCTTCCACAGGGGCACTGGGTCGGGCCTGCAGGGACCACACAGGGACTGTCAAGGAGCAAATGGGCCTGTGCGGCTGAGGCCCATCCAGACACATGTTCAGGGGGCAGTGCGGATAGATGCTATGCAGGATCTATCTGATATATCAAGAGAAACTATTAACAAAAGGGGTTTTACATGAATGTTACTGATTTTCAGATGTTAATCTTTTAAAAATGCTAAACTGTGAAGATCAACTCAAACGACTTAATCCAGCCTGGGAGGCATCAGTTTGCATCCTGTGCTTCATGGGATGCCTCGGACCAGAGGCTGGACTCTGCTCCAGGTCCTCAGAGCAGACGGAGCAGGGAGAACCCCTTCCTCATGGCAGGGAGGGCGGGCACAGGGCACAGTATTTAACCATCTTTTCTTCTTCTTATGAATCTTCAGCTGCAGCTCTCAAGGTGAAAGTGAACACTGGTAGACTGCTGGGTGCAGGACCTGCAGCCATGCCCCTCAGCCCCCAGGGCTCCCCATGGTTGCCAATGGGTTCTAGGTGTGTTTGGGGGAAGGGGCCCTCAGGAGCCTGAGCTTTAGGCCAGGGCTGGAGCTCCTGTCCCTGCTCTGGTGCGTTTTGAAAGCACATTTTCAGTTTTCTCCAGGCCTCACCACACCCAAACACGCTGGGTCAGGATCCCAGGAGGGACATGGCTTCCGCATTACCGATGAGCTCCCAGGGCTGCCTCTGAAACGATGCTGGGGAGCTCTTCCTTCGTACCCACACCTGGTTTCCCGGAGGGGGCTGAGTGGGGCGGGTCAGGCCGGCACCCAGGCTGGGGGCCATGGGAGGTGAGAACCTGGAATGCAGATGCTCAGGCTCCTCCCAGACGGATAAGGCAAAAACTCTGGGCGTGGATACACCCTCTTCCCTGAGGTCAGGCTTGAAAGCAAAGCCTCAACACAAGGCCTGAGCGCACACAGGTGCCCGAGGAATAATTCAAGTTCCGTGGGGCCTGGTGCTTCTGGACCAGGAGCTGAGAACAAGCCGTGTCACAACCACCAACAGTAAGCCCAGGCCTGGCCCCCTCCACTCCCACTGGGGTGCTGACCAGGGTCCTTCTCACCAGATCCCTTTGAGCATCCACTGTGGCTCTCCCTGTGCTCGCGTTGGAGGACTATCACTTGGGTGTCCAGCTGCCACCTGCTGGCCTTGCCCTGTCCCTCAGAGGCAGAGGGAGGGGTCTCCTCCCACCCTTGCCCCAGGTCCCAGCAAAGCACCTACCCAGTGAGGAGGGAGAATTCTCTTGTCTGCAGGCTGACCTGGGATGGCTGGAGACACTGCTTCACTGTAAGACACCAGGGTGAGGCTAAGGGTCCAGGAAGGTGTGGGTCCGCCCTTTCCTGCCCCCAGGGTGGGCGGGTGGGGTCAGGAGGGGCCGTACCTTGGGAGAGAATGCTGCTCAGGTTGGGAGCCTGGGTGAGGTTGCAGTTACCAGTCTGGGGATCACAGGGACACTGGTGCTCACACTCACAAGGTCTCTGGCAGCCTGGCCCGTGCCAGCCGAGGGGACACTCTGCAGTGAGGCGGCAGGAAGATGGAAGTGGAGGTGCCAGCGGCAGGGCCTCTCCCTGAACCGACAGGATAGGCCCAAGGTGTGCAGAGAGCCCGGCTAAAGGAGCGGTGTAGCCGCTACACACACATTCCCAGGGTGGTGCTCCCTCCTGGCTGACTCAGGGGCCCATCTAGCTTACCCTGAACACAGCTGTCTCCAGTGAAGCCAGGGGGACAGGTGCAGGTCCCCCGAACTGGGTCACAGGCAGCTCCATTCTGGCACTGACACTTCTTGGCACAATCCTCTCCAAAGGAGCCATTGCTGCAAGCTAGGATGGGGAAAGGGGAGTCTTTGCAAAAGCTGGCCCTGTCCCTCCCAGATGGGCCCACAGGTGGCAGATGGACCTCAGTCACCCGAGTGGCCTTTAGATTCACATATTCTCCCTGAAACTGTGTCCTCACGGAGCTTTGAGTCTAGGAGGGCAGGTGGCCAGCAAGCTAGGAAGCAAACGTCAAAGGGCAAGCGAGGACAAACACCGCAGGGATGTGACCTCTTGGCAGCAGCAAACCACGGAGGGGGTGGTGGTGGGAGGTCCCTGGGGACACGATGTTAGGCTGAGACTTAGAGAGGAGCAGCGGGCACAGTGAGCAGGGAGGGGCCGGAGCACCCAGGGCCTGGCCAGTCACACTGAGCAGTTCGGGTTTTCCGCTAAGTGTGAAAGAAAACCACCGGCGGGTTTAAGCTGTAGATAGTTGTAGTGGGTTGAACTGTGTCCCCCCCCCCCCCCCAAAAGATACGCTTTAATACATAGAACTTGTAAACGGAACTTATTGGAAATAGGGTCTCTGCAGATACACTTAAGTTAAGGATCTTGAGATCATTTTAGATTTAGGGTGACCCCTAAATCCAGTGACCAGGGGTCCTTGGTAAGATAACAGAGAGGGAGACTGAACACACAGGGAGGCCATGTGAAGATGGAGGCAGAGATTGGAGCGATGAAGCCACAAGCCAAGGAATGCTAGAAGCCACCAGGAGCTGCAAGAGATCGGATCCTCCACTAGACCTTTCAGGGGAAGCATGCCTCTGAGGGCACCTTGATTTTGGAGTTCTGGCCTCTGGAAGTGTGAGAATATATTTCTATTGTTTTAAGCTGCCCAGTTTGTAGCATTTATTGCAGCAGCTCCTGCACAACAATGCAGTGATTTACACGTGAGGCGAGAGCAAGAGGCAAGCGACGTGCAGACCGACCGAGAGGTGAGGATGAAGGCAGTTGCCACTCTCACCCTCTCCCCATGTGCCGGGGGCTGGGGCGGGGCCGGCCTGTGGCTTTTACCTTCACTGCAGTTGGACCCTGTCCATCCAGCTTCGCAGCGACAGCCAGCTGCCAAGACAAGACCGAGAAGGTCAGGTGAGGGCCCAGGCAGAACTGGGCAGGGAGACCTGGGAGCCCGGGTGAGAGCTGCCTCCCCAGAGCCTCCACTCACTCTCTGTGCAGAGCCCATGCTGGCTGCAGTTGGAGGGGCCACAGTCCAGCTCGTCGCAGGCGACGCCCCGCCAGAAGTGCCCCGTGCACTGGCAGTGACCCTCCACACAGGTTCCGTGGCCACTGCAGTCAGGCGGCTGGCAGCGGGGCTTGTGCACGCACACCACAGTGGACACACTTCGGGGACAGCGCCACATGTTGTTATCCTGGCTGCAAGGGGACACAGTGTTTGAAGAGGCTGGGGTACTGACCATCCCCAGCCGAACCCTCCAACCCCCTACTGCAGCCTACGAGTGCTGCCTTTCTCCACTGTCCCATCTCCAAACTTACATAGGTTCCCAACCCCCACAGTCCCTCTCACCCCAGGGCCTTTGCACATGCTGTTCTCTTACCCAGAAGGCTCTTCCACCCTCCCCACCCCCATCTACCCACCTCTTCTTCCTTTAGATCTTAGCTCATGCTTCATTATCCTCAGAGAGGTTTTTCCTGACTAATCAACCCACTTTCACCAGCTTAGGTAGTATTGGTATACTATGTGTACTTCCTGTACGGAGTGAGGCAGGGATCTCAGCTCCTCCTGCTCACTGCTCCTCCCAGGGCCTGGCACATAGCCGGTGCTCAGTACTTGTTGAATGAGACAGGGACAGGCCTGGACTTAGACCTCAAGAAGGGGACTCTGGTGTGTTTACCAGTGATCTGACGGGTAACTGGCCAAGGTCCCATTGAGCACGAAGGTAGCAGAGCCCCCTCCATCCAGGTTGATGGCGTTGACCACATCCTGTTTCAGCAGGAACTCCGCCATCTCCCACAGGTTAATGCTGCAACACAAGAGCAGCACCGCTAACAGTGTCCACCACCATTTCGGTTCAATTCTTCTTACTTCCCGTGGTAGATGGTATCATGTCCATGGTGGCAGGCAAATTTCTAAATGGCCCCCCAAAGACGCCCATCCTAATCTCAGAAGCTGCGAATATAATGAGAGATCTCGCTCCCAAGATTGTTACACTACTTGGCATAGCTGTCAACAAATGGGAACCCTGTCCTGGATTATCTGAGTGGGCCCAATGGAGTCACAAGAGCCTTTAAAAGCAGACCCCTGGCTGGAGGCTCAGCTGGTTGGAGCATTGTCCCATATGCCAAAAGGTTGTGGGTTCGATTCCCTGTCAGGGCACATGCCTAGGTTGCAGGTTTGCTCCCTGGTTTGGGTGTGTGTGGGAGGCAACAGATCAATGTTTCTCTCTTACACTGATGTTTCTCTTTCTCTCTCTCTCTCCCTCTTCCTGTCTCTCTAAAAATCAATTGGTGAGGATTAAAAAAAATGCAGTGGTGGAAGAGGAAGTGAGAGATTGGAAATATAAGGGGATAAGAGGGATTTGACACATCTCTGCTGGCTTGAAGATGGGGAGGGTACACACGAGGCGAAATGTGGGCAGCTGTAGGAGCCGAGGCCCCAGGTGGCAGCCGACAACTGCAGGGAACTGCATTCTGCCAACAACTTAAATCAGCTGGGAAGAGGGTTCTTCCCCAGAAGCTCCAGATTAAGTGCCCTGCCTGGCCAACAGCTTGACTCTTGTCTGCGGAATGTCCTGAACACAGAGCCCAGTGAGCCCTCTGGACTCCTGACCTACAAAACTATGATGAACAAATGGGTGCTCATTTCTTACGTAGCAACAGCACAATAATACACTCTCTTTACAGAGCACGAAACGGTGGCCCAGAGGGGCTGAGTGACTTGCCTACGGCCACAGAGCTGGCAGATAGCTGAGCTTGGACTGGAATCGGGGTCTTCCCCCTGCTAACTTTGTGATCATTTCCTTTCACCCCAACTGAGACTCAGGAGGGGGGAGATGTAAACTGGGGAGCCTGAGAGGAAGTGTGTGGAGGATGATGAGCTCTTGGAAGTGGTACAGACCACGGGAAGGCAGGGGACAGATGGGTATGAGCATCCCCAGGTGACAGCTGGTCAGAGGGCAGCCATTGGTGGGTGCAAGCTCCTCAAAGGGGACTTAACCCAAGACCCTGAGGCTCTGGTTCCTGGCACTCACCCCCGCTGCTCCGTCTGCCCGTCCACATGGAAGAGCACCAGCTGCCCCTTCCGGTCATGGCCCACAGCCGTCCTGGCCGATACCACATTCACAAATTTGCTGAAGGAACCTGAAAGAGAAGCGGCTGGGCTGATCACGGGCCCTTTGGGAGGCCTCTGGGCTCTGTCTGCCACTTCCTGCCAGTCCATGCCATCCAGTGTTTCCCTGCCTCCCCCTGCCCATTGCAGTCAGTCTCACATAGGAGCCAAAGGACTTTTAAGTGTACATCAAGTCATGTCAGCCTCCAGCCGAAAAGCTCTTATGGCTTCCACTGTTCTTAGAGCAATATCCAAACACCTTCCCAAGGCCCAGCATGACCATCCTGGCCTGCTCTCCTACTGCATCTCCCGGGGCTTCCCTCTCATCACCCTGCAGCCACTTTCTGCTCCCTCTGCTGGACTGCGCTTCTGCTCAGCTCTTCCCACAGCTTGCTCCTCCTGATCTACGCCACCTCCGTGAGGCCATCCCTGACTGCTCGGTCTAAAATAGCTCATTTCCACATCAGAGCCATGGTGTCCCTTTCCTGGCCCAGCATTCCACACTCCAGTGGTTTTCAAACTTGAGTGTCCATCAGAATAACCCAGGGGCCTTGGTAAAGCACAAGCTTGGGCCTCACCCCCAGGGATTCTGATCCTGTAGGTTTGAAGGAGGCCTGAAGTTCTGCATTTAAAACAAGTTCCTGGGCCCAACCAGTGTGGCTCTGTGGTTGAGCATTAACCTATGAACCAGGAGGTCACAGTTCCATTCACCAGTCAGTGCACATGTTCGGGTTGCAGGCTCAATCCCCATAAGGGGGCGTGCAGGAGGCAGCTGATCAATGATTCTCTCTCATCATTGATGTTTCTATCTCTCTCTCCCTCTCCTTTCCTCTCTGAAATCAATAAAGATATATCAAAAATAAATAAATAACATAAGCTCCTGGGTGACACAGATGCTGCTGGTCCACAAACATTTTAGCAGCACTTCTCCATTTTTTGTCCGTAGTTCCTTTCCTCCACCTATCCCCGTTCTTCCAACTTTATTTTTCTCTTAGCATTTACCAATTCTTTTTAGCAAATGATGTATCTATTTTCTCTCTCATATATTGAGCAGGCACCTTATCTGTCTTAATCCCTGACCCCCAGAACCTAGAGTAGTAGATTGAAAGACTTCCCCCACGACCCCTCTGGTCCTGGTTCTCAGGGGCACTGTGGCCACCCCCACCCCACCTGTCTCCTGTGTCTCATCGCACTCAGTCGCCTGGCTCTCATTGATGTAGATGCTTCCATTTCGAATCAGCCACACGACCCCACTCAGCAGCTGCACAAATGGATTCTCAGTGTCCAGCACCTCCTCTTCAGACAGGTACCTGGACACAGGGAAGGTGTGCGGTTCACTTACCAGCAGGGGCAGCTGTGGGTAGTGGGGCTCCTTTCCCACCCCACCCCCAACAGCCTGACTGCCTGATTTCTCCTCCAGCCTCAGGAGCCTGCCTGGTTCTAATCCCAAAAGCAGCCTTATAAACAGTCTACACAAGTGGTTCTCAACCTTCCTAATACAGTTTAACCCTTTAACACAGTTCTTCATGTTGTGGTGACCCCCAACCACAAAATTATTTTCGTTGCTACTTCTTAACTGTAATTTTGCTACTGTTATGAATCGTAATGTAAATATCTGATATGCAGGGTGTATTTTCATTGTTATAAATTGAACATAGTTAAAGCATAGTGATTAATCACAAAAACAATATGCAATTATGTATGTGTTTAGGCGACCCCTGTGAAAGGGTCATTCGACCCCCAAAGGGGTCGCGACCCACAGGTTGAGAACCACTGGTCTACACAGTCCGTCGTCCTGGCCAACCTACCACCGGATGCCTGTACAGCTCTTAACTGACCTCCTTGCTTCCACTATGGCCCTCTAGTCTTGTCTCAAAGTCAGTCCTGCCATCCTCTGATACTCTGCTCCTTTCTTCCGTCCCTCATACACACCAAGCCCCTCTGCCCCTCTGTGCCTTAGCGTTTGCTGTTCCTTCTGACTGCAATGCTCTTCCTCCAGGTCTGACCCTGGCTGACGTGTGATTCATCTTCAGGCCTCCACGCAACGGTCACCTTCGCCAACAAGCCTTCCCTGATCTCCCTCCCTAAAATCAACACTCTATTTACAACCGGTTTACCAGGTTCACTGCTTCACTGCACATACACAATCTGAATTCATCTTAATGATCTCCCTGGCTTTTATTTTTCCTAGTAATGGGAGAGGTCCGTGAAGGCAAAGGCTGTGTGTACTCGTTCACTGCTCCATGTGTCCCCAGTACACAGCACACTGCCTATACAAACAAGCGCTCCGTGACAGTAGATGACAGCTAAGCCCTGCAAGGAGGGTATTCCTCACCCCCTTCTGCAGACGAGGAAACGGAGGCTCAGCTTGATTAGGTTGAGCTGAACATGGCAGTACGGACACAACCCCAACCTCAGGCCCTCTACCCACGGCAGTCACGGGGTTTCCTGCCCCCTCACCCGGTGACCAGGGTCCCGTCGCGGCGGATCCCGAACTGCGCGTTCTGCAGGCCCCCGGAGCTGCTCACCCGCCGCCCGTCGCTCACCACGTTCCCCAGGCACTCGCCGGTGGCCATGCGGAAGAAGCCGCCGTTCTGGGCGACGCTGCAGCCGGCCGGCCGCGCCGTCTCTTCCACGGTGGCGCGGCGCCTCGACGCGCAGCCGCCGGGCCCGCCGGGCTCCAGCACCGAGAAGGTGCGCAGGGGCTCGGCAGCCCGCGTCAGGTGGCCGGGCACCGCGCGGCCGGCGAAATGCGAAACGAAGGTGCGCACCGCGGGGCGGCGGGCGCCGGGGGTCGCGGGGGAGGGCGGCCAGCTCTCGTGCTCGCGGCTGCCGACACGCACCCTCGCGCAGTCCCGGGCGGAGCGCGCGCGCGCGCGGGGGTAGGGCAGCAGCAAGTCGTCGTCCAGGGAGGGCCTGCGGGGTAGCGCGGGGGGGGGGGGGGCGGGTGAGCTTGCAGGGTTGTGGCCCGGGGGGGGGTCCCCCCAACCCGGCTCACCGCGTCTCTCCCACGGTCTCCGGGAGCTGTACTCACCCCCAACCCAAGCCGCCGGACGCGTCCCAGAGGAAGCTGAGCAGCGTGAGGAAGAGGAGCCAGCGACCCATGGAGGCCGCCATGTTGGACGCGGGCCTCCGGTCACGTGGGCTCCACCCACGTGACTCTCGGGCTCTGGAGGCTGCTGTCAGCGCGGACCGAATCAGCACCTTCCCTCCTAGGGGTGTGGCGGGGTCTGGTCCGGTAATTTACTGAGCTTCGCAAGGGACGTGGCGTTGGGGTGGTGGCCGGAACTTTTAATGTTGATGTAATTTCAACCCTATAGAGATTGCAAGGTCAATAGAAAGAACTTTGTTATAACTTTTACTTATCTTTACCAGTTCATGTTTGACCCTTTTGCTTCAGTATTTGTACTTTATTCATATGCATTTTTTTTCTGGACCATTTGCAGCCAAGTTGCAGACGTCGTGGTCCTTCCCCTCAGTAATTCACTATGTACCTTCTACCAACAAGGACATTTTTTAAAACTTTGTTTACTTTCCATCACCATTTATGCCCTCTGTGTCTTCCTTCTTACATCACCACAGGCCAATAAAATCAGGACATTTCATATTGGTAGAGTTCTATGAACTAATCCACAGTTCACATTCGAATGTTGCTAGCTGTCCCTATAATGTCCCATTAAAAAAGACCCAAGAGGCCCCAAATGGAGTCACTTGTGCTAAGTCCTACATCACCACATTGCAATTTCAGCCCCCCTCAGGAAGGTAATCTCACACTGTCAGTCTGATTTTCCTGGTCACACACTACAGAGGCAATGTGTGTAGACAAAAAGTGGTTCTGATCACAAATTCTTAACGGGGCAGGTCGTGGTGGGTAGTCATGCCCCAGGCATATAATGCCCTAGTAAAAGGCGTATCTTTGCCTTAAGCAAGCCATGCCCTCTGTTTCTGTGCATGGTTAACACACCTTTGAAATTCCTTTTTTTCAGCCCCCTCCTTCAAGAGAGCACAAATCTTAACTATCCTATAATTCGATTGATCCGTGCCTTGCTTTCTCCCACCTTCATTTAATCTTTCCTATGATCCCTCCTTAATCTCAAAAGCATGAAAGAAACTGCAAACTGTTATTCTCGAGCATTTTCCTCAGTCTTTTGAGATCTTGCTTACAGGCATATTCTCTGGCTCAAATACATTATTATAAAAATTCTCTACAGGTTTGGACATTCTTATATTGACATCTGCCTGATAGATCCCTTTTGTCTCTTGAAGGAGGTGATCTTGCCTGAAATAATCCACACTTTTCCCTCTTCTGTCCATAAAAGGCTTTCATTTTGTACATCTCCTTGGATCTTCTTTCTAATTGCTAGATGGGGTGCTGCCTGATTTTGGAATCATTTAATAAAACCAATTAGATCCTCAAATTTACATAGCTTAGTATTTTAACAGTCCTTTGTAGCTATTTTCCCCACATCTGGGATCCAATCTAGGGGTTGCATTTAATTGTCATGTCTCTTTGGTCTTCCGGAATCTGAAACAGCTCCTCAGCCTTTCTTTGTCTTTAATGATGTTTTTGTAAAAAAAAAAAATTTATACTGATTTTTAGAGAGAGGAAGAGAGAGGGATAGAGAGATAGAAACATCAATGAGAGTGAATCATCGATCGGCTGCCTCCTGCATGCCCCCTACTGGGGATGGAGTCTCCAACCTGAGCATGTGTCCTCACCAGGAATTGTACTGGAGACCTCTTGGTTCATGGGTCAGTGTTCAACCACTGAGCAACACTGGCAGGGCTATAAAATTTTTTGATTGATTTTAGAGAGAGAGAAAAGAAGAGAGAGACTGAGAGAAACATCAATTCGTTGTTCCACTTATGCATTCATTGGTTGCTTCTTGTGTATGCCCTGACGAGGAATTGAACCCTCAACCTTGGCGTATTGGGGTGATGCTCTAACCAACTGAGCTTGACATTTTGGAAGAGGACAGGCAGGTCAGCTGCATAATTTGCAGGGATCCTTGTTAAAATATTAAGAATTTCAACATGTTGAGAGCAGAGTATGAAAGCTAGCATGGAACCCCTCTGTGCACAGGCCCTGTGAACCTACACAGGTTGGAAGCCCACGGAACTGGCCTATTATTTTGTAGCATGTACTTCAGGATTCTTCTCTTTTTTAATACATTTTATTGATTTTTTTACAGAGAGGAAGGGAGAAGGATAGAGAGCTAGAAACATCGATGAGAGAGAAACATCGATCAGCTGCCTCCTGCACACCCCTAGATGTGCCCACAACCAAGGTACATGCCCTTGACTGGAATCGAACCTGGGACCCTTCAGTCTGCAGGCAGACACTCTATCCACTGAGCCAAACCAGTTAGGGCTTCAGGATTCTTTTGAGAGGATACCTCTTTTCAGGCTTCTGGTCCAAGGCAGTGTCCAGGGTTAGGTGGCACCTGTTGGTGCCAGTGCACCTAGGAGCCAGCAGAAGTCTGTTGGCCATGGGCACTCAGGGCCAGGTCCGACTCTTTCTGTCCACAGTCAGTACAATTAGTGCTTGAACTCAGGCTGCTGTTTGAGCCACTACTCCTGAGAGCCACTCAGGGTCAGTGTACCGGGTTGGATAGTGTCCCCTCCAAATTCACACCCTTCCCCAAACCATAGAATGTGACCTTTTTTGGAAGCAGGATCCTTGCAGATGTATACATTAAGATAAGGTGATATTGGAGTAGGGTGGGCCCTAAAAACAGACTGACCTGTGTCCTTGTAAGAAAAGACACACACCTAGCGATACACAGAGGGAAGACGGCCATGTGAAGACAGGCAGAGGCTGCCGAAACCGGTTTGGCTCAGTGGATAGAGCGTCGGCCTGCAGACTGAAAGGTCCCAGGTTCGATTCTGGTCAAGGGCATGTACCTGGGTTGCGGGCACATCCCCAGTAGGAGATGTGCAGGAGGCAGCTGATCGATGTTTCTCTCTCATCGATGTTTCTAACTCTCTATCCCTCTCCCTTCCTCTCTGTAAAAAATCAATAAAATATATTAAAAAAAAAAAAAAAAAGACAGGCAGAGGCTGGAGTGAGGCAGCTACAAACCGAGGAACGCCAAGGCTTGCTGGCAACCTCAGGAAACTAGGAGAGGGGGACAGGACGGATTCTCCCGCAAGGCTTCAGAGGGCTGCTGACACCTGAACTAACAGTCAGTGACCTCAAATGGGCCCCAAGAGCATCTCTGAGGCCTGAGGCGGAACCAAAGTTCACCTCAGTTAACCACATTCAAAGTGACTGCTCCTCTCGGGGATTAAATTACCCCCCTGACGCACATATATTGATGTGGAAGGATTAGGTCTTTCTGTTCTTTATGTCCAGGCTGCCAAGAAGCATCAGCAAACAAGCCAAGGCCTGCTGCCAGCTTCCGTGCCTCTGAAGTCCTCTTTCCCTATGTCAACGAGGAGTTGGCAAGTGGCAGGCAGTCTCCGGTGAGTTCTGATCTTTTGTCTTCTTCCTGCTTTGATGTTTGTTACTCCTTTGCCAAGTTCTAAGCACTTAAGTGCCACAGAAATTCTCCATTTGAACTGAGCAGCCTGTTTCATTGATTCAATAAGGAGGCCATTAGACGGATGGGGTTCTAATACCGTGGCTGTCTATAAAGTAAGTAAACCAAAACGTAAACCTCAAGGTTACGAAATCGAAGTGCTGTCATAAACAACCAACCATAAACTGTTAGCTAAGCTTTAAGCTATAGCCACTCAATTTCCTTGTGTCGCTTCCCCACTTTTCCATAGGAGTTTTCCAGTTTGGTGCTGCCTGATTTGAATTGATTTTCACTTAAGTAAACTCTTACATGTTTAAACATGCCTCTGTTTATCTTTTAACAAGCCCAAATCCGCAGTTCTAATTGACTCATGGCAGTCTCCTTTGCGCACACCTGTTCTTCATTTGAAATACCTTGGTCCCTTCTTAGCATCCTCATCCAGGTTCCACCACCATTGGAGGGTTCAACGGATTGAGCTCCCCTATGTGTTAGATGCTGATGAAACAAACAGACTGGCCCTGCCCTCCTAAATCTTAGATTTTAAAAAAAAAATGTTTTTATTGCTTTCAGAGAGGGAGAGGGAGAGAGAGAGAGAGAGAAACATCAATAATGAGAGAGAATTATTGATCGGCTGCCTCCTGCATGCCTCCTCCTGGGGATAGAACCTACAACCCAGGCATGTGCCCTGACCATGAATCAAACCGTGACCTCCTGGTTCATAGGTCACACTCAAACACTGAGAGCCATGCCTGGCCAGGCAGGATCTTAGATTTTAATGGTGAAATACTGTAGACATTTAACAATGCAAACATGGTGAGAGCTGGGAAGAAGGAAAGAGAGAGAACAGTGTCACCGGCAGGGAAGGCCTCTGTGAGCTCATTTAGATGGAGACATAAAGGACAGGAAAGAAGGGGCAGTTGTGGGGAGATGAGGGCCAGAGCTTGCAGGCAGAGGGCACTGCAGGGCCTGGAGGTAGGGCAGAGCTTGGCAGGAGGCGGAGGTTCAGCCAGCAAGGAGAGCAGAGGAAGCGGAGGGTTGAGGTGGGAGGGCCAGGCCAATGCCAGGTCTCGCAGGGCTCCAAGCAAATGAATTTGGATTTTAGCCCAAAATAATAGGAAGCCACTGGAAGTTTAAAACAACAACACACGCCCTGACCAGTTTGGCTCAGTGGCTAGAGCGTCGGCCTGTGGACTGAAGAGTCCCAGGTTTGATTCTGGTCAAGGGTATATACCTTGGTTGCGGGCACATTCCCAGTAGGGGGTGTGCAGGAGGCAGCTGATGGATGTTTCTCTCTCATGGATGTTTCTACCTCTCTATCCCTCTCACTTCCTCTCTGTAAAAAAATCAATAAAATATATTTTAAAAAACCCACAACAACACAGAATTTAATTGAGGTATAACTTACATACAGTAAGATAAGATTTACACTTAAAGGTATAGAGATCTCTCAGCATCACCTTAGCGCACTTTTAGGACATTTTAATCCCCCCCCCCCCCCCCCCCCGCCAAAGTTTTGTCGAGTGGTTTTATTTGTATTAAATGTTTGGAAAAGGCAAATTTGCAGGCAGAAAGCAGATTAGTGGTTGCCTAGAGCTGGGGCTGGGACAGGGAGTGATTGCAAACTGCAGGGAGGGTGTTAATCCTGAGG